CCCTCATAGTCCATCCTGATAAGCATTATTCACTACAGTATCACGAGTTACCCATCTATGTCTCCTTTCATCAGCTCCACACAGACAGATTGAATAGTACCTACTGGAGATTCTGCCTTCTGCCATGCTCCCTAGCACCAGGTTCCCTCTTGAAAGCTTGTAAGCCAGTCACTTCTTGCCTTTGTAGTCCTCCCCTCTGCATTTGAGTATCCAATGTCCAAGCTGCCCTTCTCCGTCCACTCTGTGTGTGGGGGTGTGTGTGAATGTTTCTTGCTGTGAGGATTTGTTCCCTCTTTTGAGTCGCTGCTCCATAGGTATAGGTCAAGTTCATCAGACTGTATCAGCTCACTCTCCCCCCCCCCATCTTCTTTCCTCTCCTGGTTGAGCTCCTATCATCCAGTCATCCGGTCCAGGTCACGTGGGTATCATCTGCAAGTGTGGGTGCTCCTGTGCATATGTCCTCTCTTCCCGTCGGCCGGTCATTGTCTTTTTCTTCTGTCTCTTTCCCTAGAGTATCCATGCACTCCACCAAGGCAGGGATTTTTATCTGTATTCTTCACTGCTATGTCTTTGTCTCCAGGTCCTAGGATAGAGTCAAGCACATAGTTGTTGTTGTCAAGTGCTGTTGAGCTGGTTCTGACTCATAGTGATTCTATATAGGGTTTCTGAGGAGCGACTCATGGGTTTGAACTACCAACCTTTCAGTTAGCCATCCAGCGCTTTTCCTACAGCACCATATCAGGAGTCCAGGCACATAGTCCTTGTTAAGTTCTGTGTAGTCTGTTCTGACTCACAGAGATCCTGTATAGGGTTTCCAAGGAGCAGCTGGTGGGTTTGAACTGTCAACCTTGCAGTTTAAACTGACCTTGCAGTCTAGTGCATTAACCTTCAGCACCACTCCAGGATGTCAGACACATAGTAGATGCTCAATAAATATTAGTTGAATGAATAATAGTTGTGCCTGCTTCCTACAGGTGCTGGGCAGTCAGAATATAGCAGGCATGGAAACTCATAGCTGTGATCAGTGGCTGCCCACGAGCAGGGAAGCTCCCAGGCATTTTATATGGTATGGTGGTTAGTGCACCTGGGTTCAAATTCTGCCTTTAACTTCTGATTTCTGTATGACCCAGGACAAGCTGTTTCTCCTTTCTGAGGCTCATTTCCCACCTCCAGGAAATGGAGTTAATAGCAGTTAAGGATTCATGCAGTTCTGCGGGAGAAAGATGAGGCTTTCTGCTCCCATAAAGATTTACAGCCTCAGAAACCCTGCGCAGGGTCAGTATGAGTCAGAACCGACTCCATGGTACATAACAACAACAACAAGGATTCAAGCAAAGTGCTTGGGACCATGCTTGGCAGGGGGCTTATTGTTCAGCAAACATGGCATTCTGCTGTAGGATAAGCACTGGACTGCCAATCACAAGGTTGGCAGTTCAAACCCACAAGTTGTTCCTTGGAAATTCTATGCAGGGTTGCAGTGAGTCAGAACCAACTCAACAGGACTCTCTCTCTCTCTCTCACACACACACACACACACAAGCCTTTGCTGAGAGAGTCTGCATGATGCAGCCATGATTGCAGGCTACCTCAGCCTGAATCCTGCCACAGCCACTTACCAGCTGCAGGATTTTCCTACGCAGCTGCACACGGCACATCCAGCAAAAGAGACCCCAGGCCCAGAATCTAGCTACACACCTTCGCCCAGAGCTGAAACAAACCATCCAAGATGTTAGTAGTTCTCTAGTGCTGCAAATGGACTCCTGGTGTGGCACTGTGGGTTAACGTGCCAGACTGCAAAGCCATTTGAACTGCAAGGTTGGTGGTTCAAGTTCACCAGTTGCTCCTCGGAAACCCTATATAGGGTTGCTATGGGTCGGAACCAACTCGATGGCACTTAACAACAACAACAACGACAACAGTGCTACAAATGCTACAACTCGATGACTTTAGCAAACAGAAATGGATTTTCTCACAGTTGAGGAGTCCAGGAGTCCACATTCATAACAACAGCTCTTTCTCTCCGGGGAAGGCCTTTGTCTCTATTCTGCGGGAATCTTCATGGGGTTTGGAAACTTCCCCTAGTTTTGCTTCCTTGCTTGCTCTTTTATATTTCAAAAGAGATTGCTTTAAGACACACTCAACACTCATGTCTTACCAACTTAACAAAGGAAATCCATCCCCAAATAAGATCGTGTCTATGATTGGTGTTGCTGTTAAGTGCTGTAGAGTTGGTTCAGACACATAGCAACCCTGTATAGGGTTTCTGAAGAGCAGCTGGTGGGTTTGAACTGTAGGAGTTAGAATTTACAACACATGTTTTTTGGGGGAACATAATTCAGTCCATACCAAGTGCCTTATTTTAATCAGCATCCATATGCCCTAAGGGCTAGCAGCAACCTGAGCATCCTTTTGGTAAGGATGTCTCTATGCCTCAGTTTCCTCTTCTGTAAATAGGGATAACAGGACTGGTTTCACAACATCATTGGGAGAATGAGGAGCTAATCTGGTGTGATGTTAGGGTTTAATAAGTGTCACCTCTTATTAAGGACCTACTGGCGTTGCTGTTGCTAAGTGCCATCGAGTCGGTTCCCACTCATAGTGGCCTTGTATAGGGCTTTCAAGGAGCGATTGATGAGCTTGAACCTCTGACCTTGCGGTTCAAACCAATGTTGCAGCCCAGTGCATTAGCCCACAGCGCCATGTTATGGACATAAAATGCCAGCCTACGGGTAGCTTATGTTCTAGGAGAGGGAGAGAAAAAAGTGCAAGAGCAAACACCTCAAAAGATGACTGACAGTGAACAGCATGAGGAAAGAGAGTGGGGTGCTATGAGGGACCATTGTCAGGGAACATCATTTCCCTTGGAAGTGTCTCTGAGGAAGGAAGGATGAGTTAGAATGAATGTGGGGAGGAGTTTTTAGAAACTGGTCCTGGGTGGAGCGAGCGCATAGCAGAGCCAAAGGTCTAGCAGCAGGAAGGAGTTGAAAGTATTAGAAAAATGCAGAGGGGACCAGTGTGGTTGGGGCAGGAGGAGGGGAGGGATGGGAGTAGACAGTGATGGGGACAGAGACTTCAGAGACTTGTAGGCCATGAAGAGGACTTTGAATTTTATTCTAAGGAAGATGAGACGCTTCATGGGGTGGGTGTGGGTGCAAGGGATAAGCAGAGAAGCCCTTCTATCAACTGGCAACATGCCCTGCATGCCAGTTGATAGATCGGCTTACATGGTAGCAATCATGTTGTTGTCGTGGAGTATCATCCAGTCAGTTCCGACTCAGAGCCACCCTGTATAGGGTTCCCAAGGAGGAGCTGGTGGATTTGAACCACCAATCTTGTGGTTCACAGTCCAGTGCTGATCCTATAGTGCTACACCAGGAGCCTGGAGGCAATCATTAAGTTAAGTGCCGTTGAGTCGATTCAGACCCTTAGGGACCCTGTATAGGATTTCCGAGGAGCAGCTGGTGAACTTGAACCAATGACCTTGTAGTTCAAACAGCTTTGCAGTCTGGCACGTTAACCCACAGCCCCACACCAGGAGCTTGGAGGCAATCATAGGAGGATATAAAGCATATTACGCACCACCTGTGAGTCAAGCAGTGGGCTATGGGCTTTCTGAGGAATTCTAGCTTCCCATAATATCACCCACTCCTGCTGTCCACTGGTCCTAGGGGTGGTAATAACTTCCTGCTGTCTTGGTTATTCTAATGCCAGGGGCTAGCTTGTCATTGACTGCTTGGGTTTTCAGTCTCTCTGTTCCCTGGATAACCAAGTCCTTGTATTAAATTCCATCTGTTGAAAGACCTAGAGTGGTGTTTTTCCCTCCCGTTGATTTTGTAAGTGAGGAAACCGAGGCACTGAGCAATTCAATCACTTGTCCAGAGTCAGGATTTAAACCCAGGCAGCCTGGCTCCAGCATTCATACCTCTCAAGGTTGGTGGAAGTAGGTAGAAATGATTCTCCACACCCTCACTGCCTGACCTTTCTCCCTGCCTCTGGCCCCAGGTGCTCTCCCGTCCTGGCTGTACAACTGCCCGCCTCCACAACCATCTCTGCTTTGGACACTGCTCCTCGCTCTATATCCCCAGCTCGGATCCCTCTCCCATCATCCTCTGCAGCAGCTGCATACCGACTCAAAAGCACTGGACGCCTGTGGTCCTATGGTGTCAGACGGGCAGCTTAGCTTCCCGCCGGCAGGTGAAGATGTTCACCATGTTGATTGAGGAGTGTCAGTGCAGGCCGAAGCTGTGAGCTGAGTCTTATGGATGGACACAGGCATGCAGAGGAGGAAGACGGGCTGAGAAAGTCACTAAGCTGGACGGCGTACACTGGAGTCAAGAAGCCAGGGATGCAGGGGCAGACAGGCAGGCCCCAGCCCACCTTTGCTCCCAGGGCCCTGGATGCAGGTCCCACTGTGGGAGGAAACACTAATGATATAAAATCAAAACCCACTGCCACTGAGTCGATTCTGACTCCTAACAACCCTACAGGTCCAAGTAGAACTGCCCCACAGAGTTTCCAAGGCTATCAATCTAAATGGGAACAGACTGCCACATCGCTTTCCCAAGGAGCGTCTTGTGGGTTTGAACTGCTAGCCTGTTGGTTAGCAGCAGAGCGCTTATCCACTGCACCACCAAAGCTCCTTACTGTTAGTGTTAAACCCACTTCTGTCAAGTAGATTCCAACTCCTCACGGCCCTATACGACAAAGGAGAACTGCTGGGGGTGGGGGTTGGGGGCTCCTGAGGCTGCAAATCTTGACAGGAGCAGACAGCCTCACCTTTCTCCACTAGAGTGGATGGTGAGTTTGAACCACCAGCCTTGTGGTTAGCAGCCCAACACTTAACCATGGCATCACCAGGGCGCTTTACTATTATTAGCATGTTGTTGCTCTGCTGTCCTGTGGGTTCTGACCCTGTATAGGGTTTTCAAGGAGCGGCTGGTGGGTTTGAACTGCCAACCTTGCAGAGAGGCAACATCTCTCATTCATAGTCACACTTTGCAATAAATGACAGAGCTGGGATTTGACCCCAGGTCGCCTAGCAGCCACTCTTAACCACCAGGATGCAGTGCCTCTCACAGAAGGAGTTCAAGACATACTTCCCATTGCGGGGAGGACAGACAGCCCTACCCAGACCTGGAGACACAGTGATGAGCCAAGTCGGGCAGGCAGACACGGCTACTATGCTACATCAGGGGTCTCTGATATCAACACAGGAGTCAGTATGCTCAGCTGCCCCTTCCCTTGATGGCCCCCACTCATGTTTCCACACAGCACCATGCCTGGTGCAGACTTCCACAGGAACCATAAACATTGACGAAGCCCAGCTGTGTGTGTCTTTTCCTTTGGTGAGGCTCCCGGGAGAGGGGGTGCAGAGTGGCTGTGGTGGGCTTGGGCACTGAGGGGCGCAGGGTCTGCGGCTGGGTGCGGGAGGCCTGGCTGTGGGCGGCTGGAACCAGAGCCCTAGCAGATGGGCCCGTCTGGCACAGAGGCAGGGACATGTGGCGTTGTCAGGGTTGCCTCCAAATGCCCCCCGGAGCGTGGGGCGGTGGAGGAGGTGGTGGGGAGAGGCTGACTGGAGGCGGTGGGGGTGGGGGGATGGGGGGCGGTGCAGGCCCGGAGGGGGGGACACTGTCAGCCCTCTTCCTGCCTCAGGAAGGAAGGCCCCAGGTGAGGGGAGCAGGAGAGAGGGACCTGAGGAAACAGATGGGCCAGTGGGCCGTGAGAGCCTGTGACCCCTGACCCTGCAGGCCAGCCTGGAGGGATGGGAACAGGCCAGGCGGGCTGCTCCCAAGGCCTTATTCGAAGAGCCCTAAGGGGAGACATGAGGGGCCTGTGGTGGGGAGTGGTCTCTCCCCTCTCCCGGGTCCTATGCCAAACTCCAAGCAACGTCCGAGCAAGCAGCTCAGTCCTGGCACAGAGGTTGTCCCTCTGTCTAGCGGGCTTGAGGTGCGTGCTACCCCTCAGCTGTGCCCACCTCCTGCCAGCTGGGAACCTTGGTGCCAGGGGGACCCAGAGTTCCTGCCCCCTCCAGAGCAGTGCCAACCAGCCCCCACCCCCTGCCCCCCAGGCTCAGTAATGGGTGGGTAATGAGTGGTGGGGGGCGGGGGAGGGGCTGGGATGCAGGTGCCACAGGCGCTGGCACTGAGGTTGCTAATCAGGTTTGCCAACGCCATCTGTCACTGCGCGAGCATCTGGGGCTCAAGGTGACCCTGTCACCCTCAGTTACAATTATGAGTTTGGCATCTGTATTAAAGCCTGCCAGCCGGCCAGGCAGGAGAAAGCGGGGGTGGGCACGGGGGTGTGCTGTGAGCCCCTTCCCGGGGGTCCCGTTCCCAGGGGCTGTATGGCTTCCCAGGCACAGGGCTTCTCGGAGCTCAGAGAAGTGTGTGTGTGTGTGTGTGTGTGTGTGTGTGTGTGTGCGCACGCGCCTGTGCCTGCATGTCTGGTCCAGCCTCTGTGATTGTACGAATGTGTCTATGTACAGAGCTGGGGTTTTGTGTGCCCCTGTGTGGTGGCTGTATGTCCCAGAGCTTGGGTGGAGACGGCCAAGTGGGTGCACAGATGAGTGTATATCTAATTGCAGAAAGAACAATGTGTCTTGGGGTGATAGTGTGGGTCACGGTACAAGTGTGTGTGTGATTGTGAGTGTACACATATGACTATCTGTGAAGGTATGTGATGCTGTTCTTCTGATGGTCACAGGATGTATGTCTGAAGTGTGCATCTCTATGAGGTTCTATAGGAGTTCTTCCTATACATACGGGTATCTACACACATACATGCATGAATGTACATGTGTGTATGTAAGCACACAAGGGCAGCAGCTGGGAGAGGGCTGTTGGTCCACACACTGTGTCATTGGGGGGTTCTTCCCCAGTCCTTTTGCTTTGTTCCTGCCTCATCAATCTTGAGCTTAATCTAGAGGGCTCAAGAAGACAAGGGGTTAAGCTCTGGAACATGAATTTTGGAAGTCAGGCTCTGGAATCTGGGTCCTGGATTCTAGATTCAGAATTATAAGATCTGTCTATACATATTTTTAAGTTCTGGCATGTAGGTTCTTGCATCTGAGCTCTAGATTCTAGATTCTGATTTAGATGTTTAGATTCTAGATTCTGGGTTCTTTGCTCTAGATTCTGTAGCTTAGGACCTGGATTTTTATATTCGGGATTCTGGGCATTCCTGGTGTAGTGCTGCGGGTTAATGCACTAGACTGTAAAGTTGGTTTGCATCACAAGGTTGGTGGTTCAAGCTCACCAGCCACTTCTCCAAAACCCTGTAAAGGGTTGCTATGAGTCAGAACCGACTCAATGGCACTTAACAACAACAAGTGTCTAAATCCTGACTTTGGGTTATTGGATGTGCAAGTTTGGATTCTGGGATCTGGATTTCATATTCTGAATTTTAGGTCTGGATTCTTGCTTCTGGATCCTGGATGGATCTGGACTCTAGACTCTATGTACGTTGAACTCTGGCCTGTGCCTGCTATTTCTCTGCCTTCCCCTCCAGACTCTACACTGGGTTACCTATCACTGATGGATGCAGAGAACAATCTTTGCCACCAGGGGGCACCTTTGATCCAAGTTTGGACTGAGTTGACCTAAGCAGTGAGGAGTTGGAAACTACCCTCGCTTGACCTGATCTAGCCCACTGGGGAGGCTGGAGGCAGGGCTTTGCCTCTCTCTCCCCACCTCCCCCCCACACTCCTAATTCCACTGGTGACTTGTATCAACCCCCACCAACTCAAATATGTAGAACTAGATCCAGTACCCTTGCTCATGGGACAGAGCACCTAGTCAGTGGGTCAGCAGTGAGGTGAAAAGTGCTTGTTGAACACTTGTCCACATGTGTTTAGTGGTGACCATGTATGACACTATTCCTGGGTGGTGTGAGTTGTGTGATAGGGCTGAGACTACCCATTTGACAAGGTCCATGAAGGCTTGTGTCCTCATGTGACAGTGCCTCTGTGTCCCTTGTGAGTCCTCATGACATGGATGATAGGTGTCTGCTGTGGTCATGTCTGTGAGAGTCCCTGGGGGTCATGAGTATCCATATCTGCAGGTGTAACTGTGGCCATCTGAATAAGGGGTCACTGTGTCCATGTAGGTATGAGTTACTGGGTGGTGTCTGGGGCATTGTCACCGAAGGCTGGGAATGATATGTCACTAAGGGTGTGTGAGAAAGGGTATGCCTTGCAGGTGAATCAAACAGGGTAGGCAAGTGGTCCAAAGGCAGGCAGAGGACTAGGGCTGGTGAGACTTAGAGTAGGCAGCTGGGGTTTGAGTTTCTCTCCTTCAGCTCTCCCCTTCCTGTGTCTCTCTGTGACTGGATCTCCTCCCACCTCTTAGTGTCTCTTTTTCTGGTCATAGAGGGACTCTGAGTAGTGGCTGACTGGTTCCATGCACCTCCCACCCCACCCTTTCGTCTCCCAGCCCTCCCTCTCTGTCCTCCTCTGTATTTTCTGTCTCTCCAAGGATTCTCCCCATCTCAGTCTCTTCATCACTGACTCTAATCTCTGTCTCTCTTGGATTTCAGGGTCGTTTTCCCCCAACTATGGCTCTGTCCATGTCTCCCCATGTCTGCCTGCCACTCGCATCTTCCCTCTGTCTCTCTCCACTCCTCCCCTTCTATATGTCATTTCTCCCACTCTGTCTCTCCTTGTCCATGTTCTCCTTTCTCTAAAATCGCTCATGGTCTTATGTGGCTCCCTCCTTCTCCATCTCTGTTTCTGTCCATCCCTCTGTCTTTCCTGTCTGTCGTTTCCTATCTCTCGGTTTCTCCTCAGCTCTCTATCTTTTCCCATCTCCTGGTCTCTTTCCACCTCTCTCCGTTTCTGCCCATTCCCCGCATCACTTCCAATCTCTCCCCAACTCTGTCTCTCTTGTCTCTGTCTGCCCGGGTGGGTCCGGTGGGTCCAGGACAGCCCGGCCGGGGCGCCACGGCAAACAATGCCTCATTCACGCGGCCCGCCGGCGCCATGGCAACGCGCCCGCCCCGCCCTCCCCGCGCGCAGAACCGCGCGTGCCAGGAGAATGCCATGGTTACGTCAGGCGCGTGCCCGCCCCGCGCGCGCCACCGCCCCACGCGCTCTTTAAAGTGCTGCGCCAGCAGGGGGCGCCCAGACTGAGACGCTGCCTGGAATCAGGAGGCGCATCGTCCTCCTCCTAAGGGCCTTCAGCGCTCAGTACCTCGGTTTCCCTGTCTGTAGAACGTTAGGGGTGGGCAGAGCGAGCTCCTCACATGTGATGATGATGATGGGTGATGAACCTGTTTGGGGGGGGTTGTGTACGTGCCTACATTTGAGAGTCAATGGAAAGATATATGTTTTGCGACTTTGTGGGTCCATGTTTGCACGCTTACGTGGGTGTTTTATGAGGAGTGGTTGTGTGTTTGGAAAGATGTGTGCGATGATCAGTGTCCTTACACCTTGAATGTGATGGCATATCTGTATGTTTGTGCTGGTGTGAGTGTTGCTATGTTCCTCTCCTCTGTGTGTGTGTGGGGGGGGCCTTGATGTGACCATGTGTTTTTAATTGTAATTGTGAGTTCATGTGATTGTGTCTGCCTGTTTGGATGCCTGGCTTGCATGTGTGGCTGTGTTGTTGAATATGATTGTACCTATGTCTGTGTGTGCTTAGCTGTTGTCTTGTGTTCACAAGATTGTGTGTGCTTATGTGTAGAGCTGGGTAGGGTTCTGAGGGTTGCTGGGGCCACACTGAGCCCCTCCTCACCTGAGGACCTCCTGGCACAGAAGGGGGTGCCCAGCTGCCTGGGACCTCCAGCTCCCTACAGGTTCAGGAGAACCCCAGCTGATGAATATTCATGAGGTGGGGGGGCTGGCACCCACTGCCAACAGCTGCGAGTCCATTAGCCCCCTCCCCTCCCCAGCTGACATGCATCAAGCGTGGATGGGAGAGGGAGGTGTCAGCATAGGCCTGTCACTGTCTTGTGACTGGGGGGGGGGGCTGGGATGTCCCAGCCACTATTTTGGGGCCATGTCAGTAAGCTGCGGTGCTTGTTGGAATGACCTAGTGAGTGTTGTCTCAATGTGGTAACAGGCACTGGGGGACTGGTGTGTGCCAAAATGTCCTGTAACTGTCCGTGTGGCTGTCACTGACTGTTTCTTTGTAGCTCTGTCTAGGGACTGTGGCCATTGTGTGGCAGTGTGAGGTGTGCCTGTCGCCTGCAATAGCGACACTGTGTGTGCCCTCAGAGTGACTCCTCTGTAGTGGTTGCTTGCTCCATGACACTGTGACAATGACAGCGTGAAATGACTGGTTTGGTTCAGACATCAGATGAGGGGCTGCTATATGCCACACTCTGAAGGTACAGTGATCCTTGTCACTGAATGGGGAAGTGGCTCTGTGTGGCCACATGGCGAGGAAGGGCACCCAGGCTGTCTGTGGGTGTTGGGGTGCTTCTGTTGACCAGCATGGCATTAACGCTGTGAGGGAGTATCAGAGTTAGCTAACTGAAGCGTGGAGGGTCCTGTGACTGGAGGTATGACCAGAGTAGTTGAGGGAGGGTGTGACAGGATTCCTAGGTGTGACCGCATGGCTAGGATGTGACAGAGGACATAGTTATACAGGTAACACTTGGGCAGTGTTGTGTGTGTTAGTGTGGCTGTGTGGGGCTCTGTGGTTGATGGTGTGACAACATGAATGAGGGTTTGACAGCATGGTCATGTATGACAGTGTGACATAGGGAATGGCACTGTAACATGTGTCACTGTGTATCATTGTGTGGCTGAAGGTGTGATAGTGTGGCTGTGTGTGACAACGTGGCTGTGCCACAGCATGACCACAGGCGTGATATTGTAGCCATGTGTGAGCACGTGGTTGTGTGTGCTTGGGGTTGGTGACAGTAGTGCTGGCTGTGTGTGACAGAGTGACTGGCTGTGTGATCTCATGACCATCCACGACACTGTAACTGCATAACAGATAGCAGGACTGTTATTATAGTGTGGCTGTATGCAACAATGTGGCGAAGGGTCTGGCAGTCTGGGTAAGTGTCAGTGTGGCCATGTGTGACCATGTGACAGCAATGTTATTATGCACGTGACAGTGAGTGTGTGATAATGTGATCTGAGGGACTATGGCCATCATCCCCGGCCTGCAGGGGGAGCTGAGGCTCTGGAACAAGAGGCCTCTTGGCATGAGAGTGGCCTTTCCCTAGCCTTGGGGGTGTACATCAGGCAACAGACTAAGGAAGGGGCCACCTGGAGATGCGGTGTCAGCTGGGATACAGCCTCATCTCTCTGTTGTCGCTTCTGCAGGCTGGGCTTGGGAAGCGGGCTTCTAAGGTGGTGGGGGTCAGGGGTGAGTGGGGTGGACTCCTCTGGTCTGGGGAACCCCAGCTGGGACCCTAGCATGTGGCTGGGTGACTCCAAACCTCTAGGACTGGTGTGCTAGCCTCGCCATGTGACGCCCACGTCTAGAGAGAGATGTACCATGTGCGGCCTCATTTGAGGAGCAGGGCCAGGTTTCAGGACAAGTGGCTTTCTGGCTGGCTGCAAAGGAAATGTTTCCCCAACTCCTTTTCTTACCTCTAGATGGGCGCTGACCACAGGAGGGCCCGGACCCGCCTGTCCTCAGTCTGGGCAAGTGGGGGTATGCATCTGTGTGAGCTGTGTGCATGCCCACATCTGTGACTGGAGGATGTTTGTGCAAATATGGGTGTGGTAGTGTGACTGATTTACTATGTGGCCACTTGTGACCATGCTGATCTGTATCTTGGTGTGACTTTGTGTTTGTCATATCTGTGGATGATTTAAAAAAAATGTTTTAATGTGAATTATGTGATAGTTTACATGGGAGAACATTAGCTTTACATTCATCCTATTGTATATCATTTTATTGCCATGGTTACAGTCCCCTCCATGCATCATCAGCCAACCAGAGGATATACCCCATAAGCCTACCCCCTGGTCAGCACACAGCCCGTCTCCCTCTCTGGGTCTAAAGTCCCTAGCTGCTCCATCTCTCCATGTCATTGTCTCTGCCTCCATCTCAGGCATCACTGCTTCTCTGAATAGGGTCCCATTCTCTGCTCTTCTCCCTTGATAGACCCAGGGACCTCTGCTCCTAGACTGCAAAGTCAATCACTCCTCTTGTATTACTACAAAATGTCTACCTTTACATTTCCAACCCTCACAATCAGTCCTGATAACAATGATTCACTATTGTATCACAAGATCTGTGGATGATTTTGAAAGCATTTTTGTGGGTGACTCAATGGGTCCGTGTAGCCCTGTGTGAGATTCTGAGTACTGATGCTGTGTGGCTGTGTATGTGTGACACTTTATACAATTCTGCATGTCCATATTGGAGTCGTGGCACTGTGGGTTAATGCGCCACACTGCAAAACCCTTTGAACTGCAAGGTCAGCGGTTCAAGCTCACCAGTCACTCCTCGGAACAGAGTTGCTATGGGTCGGAACCGACTCAATGGCACTTAACAACAACAACAACAAATGGGAGTTGATGTATGTGTAGGTGTGTGACTTCACATGACTCTCAGTGACCCCTGGATGTGACTCTGTGTGTGTGTGTATGTAGCCATGTGTGTATCTGTGTAACTGTCATGAGGAATCCCTGGAGTCTGTGTACCTATGTCTGTGTGTGTACAAGAGTGTCTTTGTATCTCAGTGTGTATCAGAGTATCTATGTGGGTCTTTGTGTTTACTCCAGGTGTGTAGCTCTCACTCTGTGGGTGGCTCTAAGAGGATCTATGTGGGATTCTCTGTGTGTTTGTGTGTCCATGTGACCTGTCAGAGGAGGAGGGGTCTGATCTTCGTGTGTCTGGGTGTGCATGTGACCCTGGAAGTCTAGTCCTGCATCCACATGTGTGTCATGGGATAGTGGGTGTTCGACCAGGTATACCTGAAGAGCGGAGGGTATCTGGAACGCCCCAGGTTCAGTTTCTAGTCCGGGAAGGGGACAGAGAGTACAAGGCTGAGACTCACAGTACAAGACTGTGCCCACCAGATGTCAGTTCCTCTGGGGTAGTCAGGGTCCCCCATCCTGCCAGGAGGGTCTAGCAGCTCCCTTCTCGCACCACGGCGGCATCCATAGCCTGGCTGCCTGTTTACCTTGGCTGCCAGACTTCTGCCTATCTCCTTGCCCAGCTGCTGGGGTCCAAGGGTTCAGTCACCTCAGAGCCTAGGGGGCCAGGCCTTACCTTCCATGGCCCAGGACATGGCTGCTGGGGCTCCGATATTCAAGTCCCCTCCTCTGCAGGATCTGAACTGGTTAGGTACAGGACCTGGTTTCTGTTGCTCCACCCCCCACCCCCCACTCTGAACACCTGCATTGTAAGAACGCACCTGCTGCCAACCACTGCCAGGTGGGCAGCCCCGGCAGAGAGGAATGTGGGGGGATTCCAGCTGTGGCATCCCAGCTGTGCCCAGCCCCCTGGAAACACCCTCCTCCCCCATGATTTCTCAAAAGCCAGGTGTGCCCCGAGACACGATCCCTGGTGGTAAGGGGTTGAGGAGGGGCAGGGATATCCTTCAGAACAGCCCTCTGCTTCCCCATAAAACCCTCCCATTTGGCAGCTGTGGAGGCAGTGGCTGAGAGCATGTGGGAAGGTATTGCGGGTATAGAAGAGGGATGAGTGTGTGCATGAACATGGGGGCATGTCTTGTGTCAGCATGGGTGAATGCGCTGTGTGAACATGTGTGTAAGGGTGTTGTGCATACGCAGGGAGGGGGAGGGTGTTGTGCATGTTTGGTGCATGTGTATGAATGGAAAGATGGGTGTTATCTGTGTGTGTACGTGGAAGAATGGATGTGGTAAGTGTATGAGACTGTTTGTGTGCTTGTGTGAATGGAAGGATGGGTTGTGTGTCTGTATTTCTGAACATGTGTATGATGCAAGGATGGGAGTGGCTGTTGCGTGTGTGAATTGAAGGATTGTGTGCATGTGTGTGTGTGTGTGTATGGAAGAATGGATATGAGGTGCCTATGAAGTAATGGTTTAAACAGAGCCAGGTTTAACCTAGTCCCAGTGTTTAGGAACAGTGTTGGAAACATAGGTTTGGAGACTGGGCCAGAGTTAGGGCAGGGTTGACAAGTGTGTCTCTCATTTGCAGGGACCAAGTGGGACTCTACCTGGCTCCCATGATCCCCCAATCTCCCAGCTCCATTAAGGGTCTCAGATACTCCCAAAG